CCGGGTCCCTGCGGTTTTTGGTTGGCAAAGTTGCCCGGCCGCTTCGAAGGGGACGCGGTGCGGTCCCCTGCCCCGGCGCCGACGCCGCCCCTTCAGGCCGCCGCGCGGGAAGGCCCAGCCGGCGGCCCCGCTTTTTTACCTGCCGGGAGTTTTCGCGCGCGCGCTCGATCGCTCGCTTTTTCCTTTCTCGCGCTCGTTTTCTTTCTTTCCTTCCTTCTTTTCTTTCCCCCGAGCGGGCGCTTTTTCCTCCCGCGCTGCCCGCGCTCGCCCGCTCGCGCCCTCCTTCCTGCTGGGTTCGGCGGAGCGGGGCGGCCGGCAGCTCTCCCCGCCCCCCTCCACCCGCGCTCCGGCGGAGGCGGCGGCGGCGCTCCGCGCTCCGACTCATTCCAATATGGCACGGGCGCAGGGCGCATGCGCCCGCGCCCCCCCACCCCAGCTCAGCGGTCCTCCCGGCAGCCCGCGCCCCTCGCGCCGCGCGCGTGGAGCCCCGGGCCCTGCCTCCCGCGCTAGTCTGAGCGTTTGCCCGCCAGACTGGGGCCACGCGGGAAGCTAAGCGTCCGCTGACCGCTGTGCTGGGGGTCCAGCGCCGCTGCCACCCATACCCGCGACCGGCACCTCGGCGCGTACGCCCCGGAGGCCGTGGCACAGGGCACGCGGCGGCGCCTCGGGCCTCCGAAGGCGCTGTGGCCCCAGAGGAACGGCCGGGACCCGGAGACGCACCCCCGAAAACCGCGCATCTGTGCTGGCCCTGCTCGAATCTAGGAGGGCAGGGGTCCCGCACCTCACCTCGAGCTGTTGTTCTGACGACGAGAAACCCACTGGTGTCCCCGCGTCGGACCTGACGTCCAAACCCAGGCGAAGAGCGCAGCTTTTTCCCGCACGTGACCGCCTGGGGCAAGATTGCCTTAACCGAGAAACCGACTAAGCGGCTGCGGGATCGCAGATACGTTCGTGCAGCTGCCGGAGACGGCTGCGCCTGTCTGCCTACCCCACGCTGGAGATCGGGCCCGTGCTTTGAGACCTGGAAAGGCACCCAGTGCCCCCTGTCTGTGAAGTCCGACTCGGGCCGTTCGACGCACCCGCGGTCTGCAGGCTTCCGCAGGAGGCGCCCTGTAAATCTGAGTTTTCCTGCAGCTCAGAGCCCCAGCAAGGAGGCCCAGGACGGCTGCGGAATTCAATTCGGGCAAGAGAGCGCAGAGACTGGGATAGGATCAGAAACTCTAAAGTGGCTGCGAATCGGCCTCTTAACCAGTAGCTGACCATGGGCGGTTACGTTCACTGACCTCGCCTCTTCCCTTACGAGCGCAGGTACCGGTGGAACACACACCCCATCTCCTCCGGAAAGTCCCCTCCGGTAAGGAGTCGGCGCTCCACGGAGACTCCCGGGCCCTGGAGGTCTGGCGCTGGGTGTTGATGGCTCCTGCATTTTAAGGAAGAGGAGGCAGGCACCTCCGCTGAGAAGAGAAAGTCTGCGGTACCCACGCTGTCCCACATGCGAACTCAGGCCACGTCTCACTTCGACGACTCTTGGAAATGTTATCCTACTTTACAAACTTGCTCAAAGTCACGCTGCTGGCTAGATTTGAATCCAGAAATTTTTTAGCACCACTGAAAAGACAGTGACAACCAGAGAGAAAGAAAAATGTATAAGCTACAAAGTATACATACTGTTACCACGGAATGCAACTTTTTGCATAAAACCTTTCCATGTATATTCATTTCTTTACATAGTTGCAACTATTTTCTTTTGTTTGCCACATTTCGTTAAAAATTTTTCTTTTATTCACGCGATACATTTTTAAGGTGTGGAGACATCCCTATCCATTATTCAGTCCCCTAATATGGTATATATTGCTTCTTTATAGTTGTATGCTTACATGTCGGTGAGTTCTGCACTAGGATGAATTCCTGGGAGTGTAAAGGCTCCCAGGTGGAAGGCTGTGAATTGCCGGTGGTCTTGCCTTGTAGTGTCATATCTTCCCAAATATAGTGTCATATTCGCCCCAATTATTCCAGCACCTCCAGGGAACAAGAAGTTTCATACACATTTCTAAGCAGTGAGTGTCATATTCCCTCTTGCCCCCACTTTAATAATGTCTATTACTAGTTCAAGCTTACTTTATTTAGCATTTCTTAGATGACTAAACGTTCAAACATGAAGGTTTCTCCATGCGTTTACTACCCGTATTCCCCCTTCGGTGAATGATCTGTTCACATCCATTCATCTGTTGGAAACTTGAACCTCTTTTAACTTTGAGCAAGCATTTTTAATATTACAGATATTAATTCCTTTGTAACCATTGATTCAGAATTTTCCAACCTGTTGTCCTTTTTTGTTTTATTCTAATGTTCAATCTGTCATTCTAGCTAGTTCTTTGTGATTTTTTTTTTATTGCATCAATGCTGGCAGTGACCTTTCTTCCATTTAATAGTCTATCTTCTGCTAGTTTTGTACAGCTTCACTTAATATTTAATTATTTGATGATTATCTGTCCCAATTTTCTGTTGCTTTATTCTGGAGTAAAATATGGATTTAACTCACTGCCACCATCACCAGTTATTATTTATGCAGTCATCATTTATTAAATAATTCATCCCATACCCTTTGTTTAGTAAAACCTATGTCATACTAAATTTTTGTTAGTTTATTTCTGAATTCTCTATTTCCTTCTGTAGACCTTGGTTTGAGCAAATACCACATACATCTAAATATTGGTTCTTTGAAATGGGTTCTAATATCTGCCAAAGCCAGATTCCACCCCCCTCCCTGGGGTCTTCTTTATTTAGAATATCGCTTGAGGCTCGGTGCCCATAGTGGTTAGGCCACTGGCCATGTACACCAGGGCTGAAAGGTTTAAACCCAGCCCAGGCCTGCTAAACAACAATGATGACTACAACACCAACAATGAATTAGTTTAAATAGATAAAATATTCTAAAACATTTCATTTTCCCATGGGTCAGGTGCAATGGCTCACACCTGTACTCTTAGTACTCTAGGAGGCCAAGGATGTTGGATTGCTTGAGGTTAGGAGTTCGAGACCAGCCTAAGGAAGAGCAAGACCTCCGTCTCTAGAAAATAGCTGGGCATTGTGGTGGGTGCCTGTAATCCCAGCTACTTGAGAGACTGAGGCAAGAGGATCACTTGAGCCCAAGAGTTTGGGGTTACTGTGAGCTATGACACCACAGCACTCTACCCAGGGCAAAAAGTGAGACTCTGTCTCAAAGCAAACAACAAATTTTCATTTTCCCAACCAGTGCATGTGCCATCTTCCCATTTATTCAACTATTGTAAAACTCTCAGACAGAATCCAGGTCCCTGGTTGACTCCATACTTTCTCCATTGCTCAGCTTCATGACACCCAAAAAGGAGGAAGAAGAGTTGAAAACTGTCATTTGAGCATCTGGCTCATATCAGGTCCTATGTGGATGTGGGTATGAGTATGCATGTGTGTGTGCACACAATCCCCTTTAACCCCTGCAAACACCCCTATGAATGTGATAGTTTGTCACATTCCCTGTGGACAAAGGCAAAATAGGAGCTTCCAAGTCATCCTTAGAGAAAGGCAGCGCTAGGCCACAAAGCAGGCATACCAGCTCCTCAACCACACCACGGTGGGAAATTGAGTTGGGGGATTGTTAACAGAGGGGCATCCCAGAGGAGCACAAAGCCAGGGTAACTTATAGAAAACTATATCTGGTCAAGATGCAGCCCAGCCTAAAATCTCCCAAGGCTTCCTGTTGTATTTTGTATAAGTCCAGAAGCCTCACTGGCCCTGCCATCCCTCCCACTCCCCTGCCTGTTGGCTGCATTTCCATTTCATGGGTAGGCCACTGTCCTTCCCACTACAAGGCCTTGGCATGCTCTCTATTCCACCTCTTATACAGGGTAGCCATAAAGTTGTGTGCAATTTAAAATTACATATGAACTTTATGGCCACCCTGTACTTAACCTTTACATAGTTGGCATCTTCTCACTGTTTAATAAGATGGTTTCCTTGGAGAGGCCTTCCCAGACCACCCCACCTGAATAGAGTCTCTCTCTGTCTTTCTCTTTCCTTCTCCTACTTATAATTTATACCTACCCACTTAGGCATCAGTGCCCATGCTGTCTCTTAACCATGAGGCAGTCAATGGTCAGCTGGCAGCATCCAAGATCAGAGGCTGGAACAGCCATGAGGCAGTAGCTAATCCCAACTTAGTCTTTCACTTTCTATTGGCGCCTTTGAATGGCGTTTGTAACCTCCATCCTCCCTGACTCCCTGAACCCTGAATCCTTGCCTGTTACTGCCAGGTAGGCCTGCTTTCTGAAGGTGGGCATCAACTCAGGGTCTTGTACTTAGTGAGAACCTGAGGGCCGGGCCTGGACCTGGAGAATGGGCAGAGTCCTTGGCCAGGCATCAGACTGTTTTCAACCCAAGAAGAACTTGAAAGTACACAAGTGAGTGAGGCCTGCTGTCAGTGATCAGCAGCCCTACATTGCCACTGACCAGCTAGCTCCCTTCAATCAGCCTAAGTGAGGTAAGTCACATAATGACTCTCTCTGGGTAATTACCCAAATAATCAGGCGATCACCCCATACCACTCTTGGTTGAGGCCTACCTGACTGTGCTGGTCCTGCAGCCCTGGGACTACAGGCCACT